ATCCATCCGGATGAACCGATCGCGAAGCACGCTCCGTGACACCGATGATCCACGACGTCTCGCGATAAGGGAATGCTAAAAATCGAGGATGAAGGCCGAAGTCGTTTACTCTGCGACTGCATGGAGCGTTTAATAGACCGATAAATAGATAATGGCGCTGCCGACCATTCATAAAGCATGAAAATGAGCGACCCCCGGCCGGAAATTCGATGAACACGCGATCGATGGACGGTAGCAATGCCGCAGAGACAGGAATGGCGAAAAATTCGTCGGTAAAAGCGGATTTCCACCGGCGAATTGTCGTACACGCATTATCGGAAGAATTCGTTCGACTGGCCAATGATTCAAAACTCCCGACTCCGAGAGACAAATCATTGGGAATAGTGCCACTTCGAAATTGAAAATACTCGTGTATGAACGATTTTTCTGCGAGAAAGAGCGACGAGTTCGATATCGGCTCGAATAAAACATGGAAGTCGTTATGGGAGCAGAAATAATACTTAAGGAATTCATAATTAATAATTAATTTTCTACCGGAAAATTTATATACGAAATTCTAAAATTTTTTACTGGCAAATACATATATATAAATCTGGTATATATTTATATATTCTAGAAAAATTTGGAGTACGTGAGGTCCAGGTCACTGAGGAAAAACATTATCTATTTATTTCAGCAATGGTCGTGCATCATAGAATGAAAATTTAATAAAATTTAATAAAATAAATTAAATTAAATAAATAAAAAAGTAAATAAATAAAATTACTTAAGACAAGGATTACCTGTAAATTTCCCAAAATTTTATTTAACTTAAATTTTATTTAATTATTTATTTTATTTAACTTTTTCATAAGATCAAGATGAGCCTTGATACGTTGACGACCGACCACGATGATTTCCGTTTTGCTGGGCATTCTTCCGCGAAGAAATTCGTACAAATATTATTTTATTGTAATATAAGAAAAATACTATCCCCTAATGTTCAATGAAGAATATAAATTTAGCTCTTTAGCGACAGACTTGATGCCGTAGATCGTTTTACTCGGAGCTTAGAGCTAATGTTTAATTATATGCCCGGTCCTACGTGAAAGGATGGAGATCGAATATCCGGTCATCAATCTGTTAAATGGGTTTCTAGGTATAGTCCCATGGTGTTAACATATCGCAGGTCTTTTTATTACTAATCGTGTCCAGTTGCTCTATTGCTAGTCTCAGGCAGCTATTTCATATCCATTCTTGATTGATATATAGATGTCCCGTCAATGACCTCTAATGACGCAATAGCAAGGTGTCTCGTCATCCATCCACAGTGCGTTAACAGTGGAAGCATCAAACGAATTAAAACGACTGGTTCGTGATTTCCCGTTTTACTGGAGGCATATAGCTGCGTTTAGAACCGTCCCATAAGTAGTTACCTTCATCATACCACCTTAATTAATATTACCTGGCTGGACTGTATAGTTAGATACATATTACAAGTCTGTAATTCAACTCGCTGTTAATACGTTGCTCGAAACGTTGACTCTTATCAAGATACCAGATACATATACATCTATTTATCTTTGTTATACGACTTTAATTGATATTACCCACGTATACTGTATACCTGGGTACATATTGGAAGTACGTAGTTATGCTCGCTGTTAATACATCACTTGAAATATTGAATCACCTATATCTATAATAAATAACTAAATGTACTGTACAAACAGATTATGACAATTACGGTGGTACATTGAAGACGAATAATTAAGTTATATTATAATATAACTTAATTATTCGTCTTTAATTCGTCGTCATCACCGTAATTGTTATCGTCTGTTATATAATATTATTATATAATATATAATTATATTATATTATATTATATTGTATTATATTATATTATAATAGTTATATTATAATATAACTTAATTATTCGTCTTTAATTCGTCGTCATCACCGTAATTGTTATCGTCTGTTATATAATATTATTATATAATATATAATTATATTATATTATATTATATTGTATTATATTATATTATAATAGTTATATTATAATATAACTATTATAATATAATATAATAAGGAATACATCTGTCCCCTATGGGAATTCTCGAAATTCGTCTAAAAAAATGATTAAAAATCCATCACTAAAAATCGATCACTAATATAAGCCTCGCTAATATAAAAATATCGTAAAAATTGATACCATGCAAAATTAAATATTATACGCTGTTTTCGAAGATTCGATACACGTTTAAAATCACCAGGACACGTTGTTTGCGGTTTCGTTGTTCGTTCCGTTTCGAAAACCAAATTCCCGAAACGCGCTATATATCCCGGGCCAACCTAACGGGAAAATAATTCGATATGCTCTCAACTGTACCGAAATCTGTTAAAAAAAAAAAAAAAAAAAAAAAAAAAAGGGGGGGAAAAAGAGGAATAACTTTGCGCTGGTTAAACGGTCGTTCGATGCACGCGGAAAATTATGCGCCGAGTTGCGCGACTGATGGATCAACCCGCGAATCCAGTGCGCCATTTTCAGCGGCGAAAAACAAAAACAGGTTGATGCAAATTATACCAAGGCCAAACGAGTCGCATTGTCGTGAACCTATTCTCCGCTGTTCCTTCTCAAATTTACGTCGGAAAAACCACACGTGGAAAGTCTATTTTCCGGCAGTTTCGCGACGTTAATACTATTTCGCCGCATTTCCCGACCATTTCATTTTTTATCGCGCCGAAATTACGAGACCAGGGCCGTACGTTTCTCGCTGATTTAGCCGCGCCTCGTTCCGTCTCGTTTCGCCACGACCGCGGAAAACGCCATTAATCGGAATATCCGCGAGTGTACGTACTGTATTCTCATTTATACGCAAATGTAACCGACAGAACGGCGGAACAGAGATGCCGCGGATTCGGGGGCCGCTGGAATTTAGTTGGGAAATGCAAAGCAAAGTCACGGGCAGAATGTTCGCGTTCGAGGCCGGTCGGTTAACGAACGAACAACCCTCGAAGATGGCGCCCGCTGTTTTCGCGACAATGGTTGGGGGGATAAAGCAGGAATTGTTAAGAGAATTAGCTGGAAAGAGTTCTTTGCGAGAATATTTCGAGAGGTAATTTATGTACAGAAATTACGTAAAAGTGACTTCAAAGCCGACAGTTCATTAGCTGAAAACTTATAATTAACGTAAATCTGATCAATAATGGATGTATAATTATAGATGAATAATTGGAAAAGCTATTGGATTTTAATTATAAATACGATACCGATGATTTAAAGTTCGAACTATCGGTTGATAAATTAATCCTACGTGCTCGAGAGGCGCCCTTCATTCACCATTTGATAAAATTTCTAAGCTCGATATTCATTAATATGTCAAATTTCAGATAATGTAACGATGTGCGAGGTATCGAAATCAAATAATTCTACGTGTTAATTATCATACGATTTCTTATTCACTGCTCAGAAAAATATCGTCAGCTTTGTAACAGGAAATCTTTGAATTCCCGTTCTTCTTTAGCCAGAAAATCGTCGAGTGCAAAGGATTAAAATTATAAAGAGAAAATAATAATGTGGAAGAGTTTCTAATTTCTCGCTCCATGTTACTAGACGCTTCTAGTGACATCTGGTATTTTCGGCAATTTTAATAAAACCTAACGATGGAAGTCACTTCCTTCTAAACAACCATAAAGAAAGCACGTATAGTTATCCTGAGAGATTATCCTGACAAAATCTAACCTATCCACGGTATTCTCCAACAAATAAAATATTTTTAGCGAATTAATTTAATTAATTAATTAAGCGGGAATTACATGAGTATATAAACTGTATTATTAGCGTATATAAACTGTAGAATTAAAAATCGAACTGTTATTATTATTTCTTACTTTTCACGTAAAAGAAATGGTCTTATTAATTATAAAGACCAGATTACTCGTAAAGCGAAAAAGTTGAGGAATTACAGGCACCGATAGGTTTCGAGGAATTTATAAATTATCCGTATTTAATAACCATAATGGAGCTTAGACGAATGAAAACACCGACTACCATTTCTACTGCGCTATAAACTGCATTAGCACGAGTGCGCGAGGTAACAACTGTGAAGAAACAAGATATCAAGTAACTAATTGAGTACTCGTATCTATTTATCTCGGTTAAACAGGAAACGATAAAATCATACAAGAAAAATGAAAAAATTGCAATTTTATGCACAGCTGCAAAACCGATATAAAGAATCGATTATAATCGTGAAATCGACAATAAAAGTTGGAAATGATATTTGATGATCAATAAACATTACATAACACAATTGCGAAACGTGCAATTTCCTTTCCATGTCTAATGATAATTATATAGCTACCGTTATCGTTTAAACATACGTATTCCGAGATAATAATCCCATCTACCGAATGTTCCAAACGTTTTTCCACTTCTGCTAACATCTTAAATTTTATCCGCTCCCGATATTAAAAAGAATATCACAATAACACAACATGGAAAATTATTGATTCAATATCATAAATCCATACCTGTAACGCCATAACGAGTCTGGCACGTTAAAAGTTTCCTGTATCGAATTATACAAAGACAAATTGCCCGTTACGCGAATAAAATTATACTTAACGTGTTTCGGCTGATATAAAGTTCACATAAATTCTGAGAAAATTTATAATTTTATCCTGAACGAAACAGATAATCGGTATATAGCGAATAATTGAAATTAAATCCTTCCTATGCCCAAGTTAGCTGAATTAAAGCGTACAGATAATATTTTCCATTTATTAATTAACCTTCAATCAGAGATCTAGAAATTTCTATGGAAAATAATTAATTTCTACGTTTCAAACGTATACTTCGTTAAAAAACGAGGAATTGTTAGAAAAATAAATTGTTACTTCCAAGCCATCCGTGTAACGAGTTATCTAGTCGTTCCCAACTAACGAGTTAAAAATTTCGAGGTATCTGTACTTATCGGGGAGATAACAATTTTTCCTAGTCTCCGAGTAAGAAAATACTATCTCTGAGTAAGACATGTCTAACTTCTGGTACCATATTCTTATTTCCTTATGTGGTCGTACAAAATTATGGAAAAATGATGGAAAAATGATGGAAAAGGACTCACCTCTTTCACCTTGTCCCTCCGTTGCCTGGCGATGGGGTCCTTGTCCTCTCCGCCAACCGTCAAAGGAAGTTTACTCGCAGGAGCTGGCGGCACGGTCTCCAGAACGTCGTCCTTCCGGTGGATCACTATAGGCGACGAACTACTCACACGCACACGCGTATCACTATTCACTTCCGGCTTCTCCAGCGTCTTCTGTTGCTGATACTCCTCGTCGATTTTCGCCTGAAATCCGGCTCAGATCGAATCGCGGCTCGAGGTCCTCGAATGGCGGTATTTTTAAGCGGAAGAATTCGAAACCAATGAAAACTGGTCTCTCGTTGAGCTGGTCTCAAACGAATTAAATAAAGCAGCCCTTATTTTATTTTAAGAAACGATTCGAGCTTCGAATTTTAGGAATTTTTAAAAGCCTTGAAGAAGAAAGTAACGACTGCTTCCAAGATTTATTTGCGTATATCTACTGGCGAATAGAAAGTGGTATAAAATAGAAAGCGAATAGAATGGGGATTTTATTTTTAGTGCTGGATATATTGAAATTTAACGAAGTAACGAAAAATTGAAATTTAGAAGATTAGACGAAGATATATGAGAATGGTAGTACTACGTAATTTGAAAAATAAACTGGAAATTGAAAGAAGAATTCTTTTTACTAAATAATAAAATAAGATCGATGAAATTTGAGTAATGTCGACAATTAATTATGCCTCATATAATAAGTATTCCATTTTATAGTCCTTTCACGACATTATCTTTTGCAAGTAGTCCTTGACGACTAAAGATTTTTAATTCTTTTAATGAATTATTTTATATTTCTATTTCTTTCTCTTTCACGTGGCTTGTAGCTCATTATAATAATATGCGAGATCGAGAAGCGATTTACGCCTTTCTGATCCTCCAGTAAAAAATCTCCCTCTTCCAATGAACTAGAAAAAGCGACCTTAAATATAGATGCAATGACTGATCATATAAGACAGTTCCTCCTAACAGAATAATTTCTCAGCAAGAGACATTCGAGATTCAAATTTTTCAATTAGAAATTACAAAGTTGAAATAAATTTCATAAAATCACGAATTTAGGAGAAAATTATTATTTCGAGGAATGTTCAGCAAGGAGATAATTGCACGAGAAAATTACAACGCAAAGTTGTAAATAGGATCTTTCAAATACAATTCCAATCTTGAAACTATTTTGATATCCTTTACATCCTTTAGTGATCATCTATGAATCGAAGAATTGTAAAGAATAAAACATACGATACAATACAGGAACACATGGGTATCTGAACAGGTGTATAAAATAACGGAAAATAACGGAAATAACGAAGACGATAGAACAGAAAGAATTACCCCTAAAAGCCCGTCGTGACATTCGATTTTCACGAGCAGGAATTCAATGTGCAGGATGCTTGAGCTGGAGAGGACAGTAACACGCGACACAGTCTCTTCCGGTCATGAAACGTTCCCATTTATTCAACAATCGATTGCATTGATGTATTTTTCCATTTTTTCCCAAGGATTTTACAATACGATTTGTCTACGTGCACTCAGCGTCCTGTCAGATACCCATTTTCCGCCCTATTTCCGGTTCCCAGCGGCGCTGGCGCGCTGCTTTGTACAGAATTTTCGTCTTAAGTCCGCGAATGGCGCCACGTCGCCCGAATGAAAATCAAATTTTCCCTAGACCGGCTCGAGAGACCTACGGCCCGTGTATTTATTCGAATACCGTCATCCGAATGCAATCTCGACGGAAACACGCTTCTTTCGCTTGGCTCGCTCGGAGAACGCCGTTCTCGACACTCTCGACCACCTGGCCGTGATTATAACAGGACGAAAGGTGAAACGTTGCAGGTACGGCGCCTGTTTTTGCCTCGTTTCCTTTTGCACCCCGGTTAAAACGCTTTCGAGGATAATTGTACAGCGAATGGACTGTTTCGTCGGAGAATTGAATTGTGGTTCAGCCGGCGCCGTCTCGTTTCGATATTTTCTGAGTAATAGAAATTCTGGACGATGCGCGAATTATCTCGAATTATGGCGGAGAAACGCGAATTTTGAATTTGCGCAGTAACTTTCGAGATTTTTGATTCTGTAACGCGGGAAAATTAATTTTAGTAGAAACTAAGAGACAGTACTTTCGCGATGTGTTAGAGGATAGGTTTTGTTAATTCGCGAATTATTTAGAATTATGACGAAGAGACGCAAATTTTGAATTTGTGCAGAAAGTTTCGAAATTTTTGATTCTATAACGCGGGAAAATTAGTTTCAGTAGAAACGAAGAGACAGTACTGTATTAGAGGGTAGGTTTTGTTAATAACAAATTATTTTTGAAATACCGCATGAACATATAGAACAGCCGCGATTATTTCATTGCTAAATTTTTGATTCTATAACGCGGGAAAATTAGTTTCAGTAGAAACGAAGAGACAGTACTGTATTGGAGGGTAGGTTTTGTTAATAACAAATTATTTTTGAAATACCGCATGAACATATAGAACAGTCGCGATTATTTCATTGCTACGTTGTTACAGGAAAATTTAATTTTCGTAAATGAATATGGCATAGGACCTGGCTTGAAACGTAATCACGTATCTACGTTTATCTACAAAACAGTGATTAACTTCCAAACATGCGTGTAATTATCAATTATCAATTATTCTCGTTCAGTTTGTTCATAATCGTATACACACGTCCACCGATAATAACTGACGTCAAATAATTTCATTTGAAATTGGGATATTCCTTATATTAAATATTTTTATAATATTAATTGAAATATTTTCATTAAAAGATTTTCTTATAAATCAAATGAAAATTGATTTCGAATAATCTATATTTATTCTCCCAATTATCCCATACTATTATTTTCTATTCTATTAAATATTTTCTAATAATCGTCAAATAAATTACACGCATTATACGATAAAATCGCGCGAAACGAGAATCGTTATTCCCACTGCGTATTTTGAACGTCAACCATCGGTGCAGCAATCGATACCGAGTTTAATTCTAATTTCTATCTTAATCGCTAATCGCTGCTACCCCTTTAATTAAATTTCACTTTGTTGCAATCTCTGTCCGAGCAAAACACGCGCAACAGCCCCTTCGATTCGAGCTACACCGATATAAAGGTCATTCGATCAGAATTCGATATCTAGCCGGATAAGATCGATTCGATACGCACGTGCAATAGATTTCACCGTGTATCGAACCGGACGATTTATACCCAGCACGCGTTATCTAATATTTGCTCGATGACTTACTGGCACTGTGGTTATTCGAAGAATAATTACGCAGCCCCGATAACTTTCGTCCATCAACATTCGACCCGTCGAATTTTTCCAAATACCAGATTCTTACGTAAATCGTCGGAACGCCGAGGCATGTGTCAGATGCGAGCAATTCTCGCGTTAAAATCGCTTCGTTATCTGGCAGCATGTGCAAGAAACGCGGACGTAAATAAGCGTCCTTCGAACGCGAATTATCTGACGAAGGCGTGAGGAACGCGATTAAAAACGGTATTTATAGCTACCGATTGTTTAAATTGATATTTGAAAAAAAGTAAACGATGTTTGAGGAAAAATTCGGACAAAAACTTGTCGAAGAATATTTCATACTTTGTCTGTGTCGGATTATTCCATTCCACTTATTCAACTGAAATCTACGTAACCTGGGTATTTATATGACATAATCGATCAATTTTAAATGATGACAGAGGGCCTCGTGTCTTGAATGAACCTAAGATTCTGCAATTTTTCACAGTATCCTGAATTCCGAGAATATTAACACGTTGACTGCCATAGTGGTCATAAATGACCGGTGTCTGTCTCCTCAATGAGGCCATGATGGTCACTAATGTCCGGCGATACTAATTTTTTAAATTTGTATTTGTTTTATTCTAAGCATTTTTTGAAAATTTGAACAATATAAGTAAATAGGGAACTTTGAACAGAAGACATTAATAATTTGCTATATTCCCATTTCTTTATGCTATATTGCTTGATAATTCATAATTATATCGTAAGAATAATAGAAATTTTATCGTGACCCCCTGAGCGTGCCATGTAAAAAGTACGTGATAGTTAAAGTGTTAATAACCTTCCGATGTGATAAACGTACGTGTAAGACGCGAGAAATTATAATTTTTGTAATTTGGAACAATTGCAAAGATGAAAATTCGTTAGTTTGTACATCGTATCGCGTTAACATATATTCATAAATAAATAGAGAACTTTGAATAGAAGACATTAATAATTTCCACCATTTTCTTTTTTTTGTCATATTCTTTGATAATTCGTTATTATATTCTAAGAATAATCGAAATTTTATCGTGGCTTCCTGAGAGTACCGTATAAAGAGTTCATGATAGTCAAAGTGTTAATCTTGTAATAATAATAATACAATACTGCAATGTTTCTCGACCCTCTTCTCAATTTTTCTAGATAGACAGAAGATTTCTCAGTATTTCCTGGATAAAATATCCATCATGGATACCCTAATTTCTTAACTTCCTGGGCGTATAAGATTCCATAATTGATAATAACTCAATGAAAAGTATTCATCAGCCAGTAACGCTGACGTAAGATCGTAATGTTTGTCCAGCGAATTTCGTACCAAGGTGCAATTTACACGGGGACTGGAGTAAAAAGGCAATTTCAATACGGTTGAGACTCGTTACAACTCCTTTCGTTGGTCGCCAGGTGGCCTACATTAAATTCGATTAACCGAGCTGCATCCAGGCCGATTAACGTACGCGTGAAATCGCACGATAGGTCTCGAATTATGCAAACCGTATTCCGCAATCGACGTGTATTAATACGGAAGATCGCGTGTGGATCGCGGATCGATCGAAACTTTATATCCGTAACACTTTCAGTGTACGGTCTGATTGGAAGGTGCACGTCGATGGCGTAATTCGCAGGTGTTCGCTGCGAGATTCCGCTTTGAAATTCCACGCTCCCGCCATATGGAATTACCATTCGAATTAACAGCGACAATGAGAGATTTCCGAGGTCGTTTTTACCACGCATAAATTTGATTATCGTGCATTTCTCGGGGATTCCTCGGCCGTGAGAATACTATGCCAAGGGAAAGTAGGTGAATCCGACATGTGCGAACGTTAAACCTGTTAGACCCGCGAACAACTGCTAAATTACACTCGAATTACCCTAGTTCCGCGATGAAATTGTCATCAGAATCGCGCTTCAATTTTAATAAGTCCAGCTGGCGGAGATCCATTAGTCGAATCTTCCACTGACTGATATTTCATGGATCACGACGGTGAAAACGTAACACTTTGATTTTCCAATAAGGAACTGACCTTTGTTAATCATCGAGAAGATTTTCTATGTACCAAATTGGTCTTGTAAAAAAATATCATTAATGGTTTAATAATTCGACAATTTTATAATCGTGTAATTTAATGATAGTATATTCGAAATTTATCAATTTCATAACGTAGTAGTTTGATACTTTAATGGTTTAATAATTCGACAATTTTATAATCGTGTAATTTAAAGTATCAAACTACTACGTTATGAAATTGATAAATTTCGAATATATTGCGTAATAAAATTACTAAATAATCAAAATACAATATCAGAAAATAAATAATAATATCATTAAATTTCGAAATTACCATGGTACAAAATAATTAAACTACAACGTTATTGCATTGTAAACCTGCGAAATTACCAAATCATCGGGTTATAATATCGAAACGTAGATGATAAAATGACCGAATTCCAAAATTACCAAACTCTGAAATCGTTAAATTATTGGCTAACAAAATTTCCGAATTATGAAACTGCGAAATAGTAAAACTACAAAGTTACGAGGGCAACTGCGTCTATTCCCGTGAAATAAATTTTCGACGCGGAATAATGAACGGCTGGAACGAGCTCGGGCGAAAAAAGAATTTACAATGAAAATACAACGGTTATCGAGAACGTTGTAAACAAGTTTGCGCGCGGCGACGCGTTTCGCAACGTTAAACGTATTCGCGGGACGTATGCGTGCGACGCGATCGGGCGCAAATCCCCGATAAATTCTATTATTCGGGGGGAGGGGGTGGGGGGCGGCCGCGTTTCGGCCGCGAAAGCGAGAATGGCGCCGATCCAGCGATCGGTCCGTAAATCGGCCGACAATCTCACGCTCGTCATCGTTAATTAGCCGATAAAACCAGATACACCTTTCGCTGCCATCCGTTCGATTCCGCCGTCCTTTTAATATCGCTTTCACCGCGTTTGCCAGCGTTTTACAGGCGACCGAGGATTTATAGCCCTCGAAACGAGCGAACGAACGTGGCAAGACGGTCTCAACGTGTTAAATATACACGTGGAAATTGTAAACCATCGAAAAAGTTTATTTTCCCATCCACTCGACGGATATCCAGTTGTTACGCCGTGTTTGTTCGAGCTACCGTGGTTGGGAGAAAATATTTCACCGGGTATTAAACATGGGAGAAAGGAACGTGGCATTCCGATTCGTATCTACGGCCCTTTAACCAATTTCTAATTTATTTCCGCCAGTTGAATCGATTCGGTAATTATATACGAGATGCGTACTTTCCGGACACCCTGTATACGTTTAATCCTAATTCTCTATATTTAGACCCGCGACTGGTGTTTCGATGTCATTGCTATATTAATAACTTAATTTCCTACATTGCTACGAGCGAGTTGGAGAAGTGTTGAATAGTCGATACTTTTACGTCACCCTGTATGTTTGTCAATACTCGCATTTATCCGCGTTGCGACTAATAAGGATAATTTAGTTGCCGTTTCATTGCCGATCAATAGATTGTGTATTATATATCAGTGGAAATGCACGGTAACCTATCGCTGTATTTTAGTGACACTTTGTATATATTATGGACATATTTCACGTTTTTACGTTGACTGATAACCGCAAGTAAATTATCATTCTATTATCGATGAACAATTTACATAAATAAAGAGAATACAAACGGCCGCCATATTTTTCGCATCGTCATATACATACATGTGTGTGTGTGTGTATATATATATATGGCGGTAGGAGCAAAGTGTCTCAACGAGGGTCACGTCGTCGATGCGTCGGAAATTGTGCTCTGAAATTTTAGGACGAGTCTATTAGCGTTGATAAAACTCGTTGCGGGTGCGCCACTAGCCCGCAGCCCGACGAAAAATTAGATAATTCAATCTCGGCCAACGAGTTTCACACAGTTACGTTCCACAATGCGCGTAATTTACCCGCCATTTAATACGCGTGATATGTCGTCTAACTGCGCACGGTGGTTCTCGTTTTCCGGTTTGAGAAACTGCGCAACGATGGAACGTGATCGAGCCGAGCGTTTCGGACTTTCATATTCCGTTATAAATATTCCAGCCACGCGAAACGCGAGTAGAACGTTTCGGTCGTTCTGCGTGTACGCGGAATTTACGGGGAAAACGGGACCGAAAACATTGAGCCGTTGACGCGACACACGAAACTGCGACGCAACAACGTGAAAAACGAACGAATAACGATAGCCGAATTTCGACGAACCGATCGGGTAAACGGGACGACGGTATGGCGGACGTGTTGGTCGGTAAATACGTAGCTCTTGAAAACACGTTGACAGTTACCGTTAGCGCGGAAACCGGGCTGGGATAAATAGCGGCGAGAGGCAGCCGAATCGAAGGAATATCGAGAATCACGAACCGTGCGAACTTTTGCCCGTTACGCGTACACACGTGTGCCCGCGATACGTCACGATGGCCGCATGTAAACAAACGAGTCGTGAAAGCGTGTAACAGCTGAAGGAACGGAGCACATGGGTCGATATGAAAAACAGAACGAGAACGACGTGACGGTACAGGCTGTCGAGTGAATGTCAAAGAGAACAACACCATTCGATTTGCGACGAAACGATGACAGGCGAGCGCGCGGTTTTATAGGCTAGGAAATCGAGAGTCGAGCACGATCGAAAATCGAAAGAAGCGCAACGTCGAGATTTCGACACACGCGCGGACCTGAAGTTTCTGCTTGTCCTCGAGGAGATGCACATCCTGATGATCGATGCCCTCGTGTCCAGGTGGCACAGCATTCGGATGACCCATGGACCCCTTCAGGCCCCCTTGCATACGAGGTGGCGCCGGTATGAGCAGCTCCGGTCCCGCTTTTTGCATATGTCGGTACACACGGTAAACACTGTTCACTGCAACGCCGCCGGTGCCCGGACGGAAATCCGGCAAAAAGAAGAACGTTCCGAAACACACGACACCGAACATCAAAAACACCAACAGGATCAGATACTTTTCACGCGGGCGGAACGACCGTCTCGAGAAGAGAGGCACCGGCACACCGTTCACGAACCGCTGATACGACGGCAGAATAGACGACGTCGTTGTCATTTTCACGATACTGTCACGCCACGCACGCACCAACGCACTTCCCGTTTTTACAACAGACGAAAACTCGAGCACTCGTGCGCGTTGTTGCCCTTTTCCTAGCCGTCGCACGCCATTACAAATGCGGTGGCACGCGAGCACCACCTGCTCGTCGAGCTTGACACTTCGTCGCAATCCTAGCGCCAATCAGCTGGCGCGACTCAAGCGCCAACTACGTTTCTCAACGACACGTAATCGATCACGGGATTGGTCGGCACGATACCACTCGTGCCAGCACTGTCGATAAAATGCCATTTCCTTTCGACGATAATTTTTAACCTAATAAATTACGAGGAAATGTTTGGAATAAAAATAATATCGCTATAAAAATTTTATACCGCATCTATGTTTCTGCTGAACGACTTGTTCAATATTTTCGATCCTCGACGTTATATTTTTATGTAACACTTAACTCGCGCTTGACATTTCGAGTATGGAATTATTACGTACGTTAACCTTGATACCGAATCAAACATTTTAAGTAATGCAATCATCTGTCCCATTCCCGGGTTACATTGGCCTTTTATTTAAGAAGTTATCACTTAGAATAATATATATTCACACTACCATATGTTTCGTAGATGTCACAAATGATATATCGAACAGATTTCTCATTTTATAAGACCTCGTAACACGTGTTCTGAAATATCGATACCGCGAAAACATAAGAGGTATTGTTATGCCCTCTACAACTAAACCAAGGACTTTAAGAGTTATATTCAACGTAATCGATAAAACAGACGCAATGACGTTTCTATGAAATATTCTCTTTCTTAAAAAGTAGCCATTAATTAATGAATTATATATAATATGTAAATTATTAAATTTTTTGTTAATAACAAATTAATATTGTTAATAACAAATTAGTAGAATCGCGAATTTAGAATGGGAGAAAAAAAGTTACATGAGTTATTGCCTATTACGGTAGAAAAATAATTACTAGACGCTTCGGGAACAGTCGCGAATGTTCGGCCGCTCTTCGGCCGGCCGCAGTCGTTTATATAAACTGCGTCATCGTGGTGGGAGCTTATTTATCAGTCTGACTTCGAAGCGAACGGATCGAAAATTACACTCTAATACCAGATGTAGTTGTACTGGACAATGGTCATTGACTAGTGCCATAGACTAGACGATGACCACTGTCCACTCCACCCACACTGTACTCTAAACAATTTTTTAATTATTAAACAAATTATTATATTACTCGTATGCCTTCATAGTAAATTAATTAAAATTAAAATAATTAAATTATTTACATAATTGAAAATATTTTGGAATTCCAATAAATTTAAACTGCTATTTGACACTTGTGCAACAATTGTACGTAATATTCACATTATACATTCCTGATTCCGATTCAAAACACTATCAAATCTCTCATCTCAGACATACATCGAGTTCCCCAGACTAACCGTGGTCATATTGAAGATTTGCAGCCATAGTCACCTTATGTACCTTCACAAACACAATTGGACACAGCGTTCTTGTCATTAAACTTCACGGGATGGTTCCTTTATGGGTTTTTATTTCTAACGGAAGAGGCACGATGTGTTCGGCTATGAGACCTCGCGAGTCAGTCCAGTGACTATTTTTGTTCTCGTATAAAACGTGGCTAAGCCTGCAATGTCTCAAGGGATACATCAATTACGACTGTAATATATTTTCCATATATAAACTGTAATATTACAATTTTGTTCAATTTAATTATAATACCAATCATTGATTTTCTCTAGCCTGTGCTGAATCAGTAACGTTTCTTCCTTACCGACAATGTCTCTATAGTGGTAATATGGCTCTAGAATACCCGAGGCAGGACACAAAAATCTATCGTATGATAAATCTGTTCTATACCTCATTTGCGATAACGTATTTACATCTTTGTATCACTGTCAGATGCGAACCAATAGCAAATGGAATATTAAATTTAACTATCGATATGCACTTCGTAAACTTCAGATTTACATGAAACTTGATTCTAATTAATAATTTTATTTAATTTAGGAAAAAAATTTGTACACATACGTGTACAGTAATACATATTTGCTAACTTTTCCCAAGAAATGCACGTGTCGACAAATGATCCGTTGTGGCGGTAGCACACTATAGTTTTTGTGATAATTAATAGAGATTTGGTTTTTATGCATCATACGTAAATCGTGAATGAGAGACAAGCCATTGAATTAATATCGAGGCCAATCTATTCCCACTATGATATGACACCGAAGGTGTAAACCCCACTACTCTATAAAAGTAGAATGGGAAGTTCAGTTTCCGCAGTATTTCCTTATTCCACTGAAAGTTCAGAGGAGAACAAGTCGCCGATAAATTTCTGCTCAGTCACACGATACACTCCGCTTGCAATTTCCCCATAAATTCCAATCATCGAATATCGGACAATGATCAGCAGGCTGTGATCAGCTACAACAATTGTCCCTGGGATTCGGCGAATTTTTGGGATTCCCATTAGAATTTAAAATTCACGAAAAAAAGATGATTCATCTCCTACAGCGAGAGAGATATATATAATACGAGCGAGAAAGCTGCCTTGGTGACTTTTGGATTGCCACGGCCGATGCATCAGTCTAGGATCCCGCTTCCTGGTCAACCATGCAGCTCCTGTGGCTAATGTAAGTGACCAAATCGTCGACGATAAATCGTCACACGATTTATCATACAGACTCGAACCACTCGTCGTGTCACGTTTTGAAATGTATCCACATAACAGTTGAGACGAATCAGCTTCGCTCGAGCGACGGTAAATCATCGAGACGCAATGCAGGTAGACGCGTACGAAGAATTTTCGACTACGAATTCAATTAAAACGAGAAATTTGATCGCAGTCGAGCGAGAAACGATACCCATAAACGACTCCTCGTGGAAAGTACGAATACGATTCGCTAAACAAATTTATGACCACGTCGAACACGGTGACAGGTGATCTAATCGTTTAATTGCTAGTCAATCATCTGCCAGACGTTCGAGACGCGTTTTCCTCGACTCTGTCACTCTGGTACACTTGGATCATTGGCTGCAATGATTATTCATTATTCCCTCTGTTTCCTATTTCTCTTTTTGCAGGTGTCACTTGACAGTCGTCACGGCGATGCCAGCGCTTCCGCCATCGATATTCACGCGGATCTGGAAGAACGTGAACACGATGAACGACACGGAAGCGGACTCGTACCACGACTACCGTGGAAATCCGAAGCAGAACGTGTGCGAGTCCGAGCACTGCTACGAGATCGGTGCGTTCGTGCTCACGTGACGTAACATTTACATAAGTTGCAATTTTCTTGCAAATGAGTTACATTATGTAAGAGAACACCGTGCCGGGGGGCAGCATAGGTGTCGATACGTTATCGATAATTCGTCGAGACTAGGGAACGGCAGGTGTTCGGAAATGAGAAACGGGATGTCACACCACGGACCTCGAGTATAATAGAAACGCGCCAGACGAGACGCGAATTATGAAAATGCAGAATCATCCTGTCTTTTCCGGTGTTTCTCGTAATTCAGTGTTATTTACAATGTAGAGGAATGTGACAAGTTCAAATGATTACTAACGTGTTATTATCTTCTCTTATTTTCAGTATATTTAAGTATATTCGAGTCTTAGATCATTTGTTCTATATGAATCAAAGTCTCTGAAAGCATTACAGCGGTTTTGAAAAAATTAACATTGACTTTTATTGAAAATTATATACGTATAAATGTACCAATAATAGTATAAAAGTATAGAAGTATAAAAGTACCAATAATAGTACAAAAGTATATAAGTACCAATAATAGTATAAAAGTATAAAAGTACCAATAATAGTATAAAGGTATAGAAGTATAAAAGTACCAATAATTGTATAAAAATATAGAAGTATAAAAGTACCAATAATAGTACAAAAGTATTAAAGTACCAATAATAGTATAAAAGTATAAAAGTACCAATAATAATATAAAAGTATAGAGGTATAAAAGTACCAATAATAAAATAATTAATGAGTAATAATAATATACAAAAATATATTATAATACTGAGTGAATCAGTATTATTTACGTATACTACATTTACGTATACTGCACTTTTCGAGATGGTAGTTCTATTATCAATGATAATTCCTTTGGTTCGTTTATCGAAGAATATATTTACTGATTTTTCTTCCAAATTACTATACCGTTTATCGAATCCAGGAAATGCAAGAGCAGTACAGATTTCAACCGAGTTAAAGTAGGTTTCCCCCCGACTAGAGCGATGTTTCCTCAAATGCACTTTTCCTGTTAGCCAGGTAAAATTCGCGTGTTCGATAGTCTTCCACGCTCGTGAATAATTTATGAACAGCTGATCGAACGATTGCAAACCGTAATGAATGTACGATTCAACGAGTATATCATCTTGTCATTGTTACCTCAGCGAAGAGGATTCAGCAAAGCAGAGATACGAGAGCTGACCCGTGCGAAGATTTCTACCAGTACGCCTGTGGTTCATGGGACAAGTACAACCCTGTTCCAGAGAACAAGCTCGAATGGTCCGAGGATCACATCATCGCCGACGAAACCAACAAACGCGTCAGAGGTAAGAAAATATTTCTTCGCTCGATATTTTTGAATAGAAATATTTTTGAAACGGAGAAAGAAGAGACTGATATCGCTGTCTCGCGATGAGTGTTAGTATTTTTGAATTTTCTATTTAAAGAAGTCCTCGAGGAATACGATAACGCCGCTGATATCCCGCCTGTCAGAATGGCCAAGAAGCTCTACCGTTCGTGCATGGATATAGGTAGGAAAATTGCAATGATGATGGTCTTAAATTAACTTCGTCAGGTGCATAATTATTCGAAAACTGTTTTTGTCATTTAGACGTGTTTGCACTGTAAAAAGCATTTACCGTTCTCGCTGGAGATAAAATCTAATTTGAATTGAAATTATATACGGTGTTCATGCGAATCCATTACTTTAGAGATAAAAATTCGAACTCGAATATTTTCCCATTAATATATATTTATCCCAGTTAATTTCTTGTGGCACGATTTTTTAAAAATTTGGAAAATTTTTAATTTTGGTTTGTAAAATATTCCCTTTTATATCGTGACGATTTGACGAATCTAATTTGAAATTGTGGAACTTTAAATAGTATTTTAAGGCACATTCGTGACCATGAAATAATTGGAATAGATCATCGAACACGATCTATGACATAAAATTAATTGTGATATAATTAATTGTGCAAGTGTAATTAAAAATGTAATTTAATGAGCAGAATTAGAAATATTTCGTGATATTCGAATAATTACGTATTTTATGGTGTAATATGTTAAAGGAGAGATTCCTCCTCGAAGATACGAAGCTTCCTGCAAATTCTTTTGAAATGTTCCGACAGATGCAATTGAAAAGAGAGGGATAAAGCCGATTCTGGAGATCGTGGACAAAAATGGTGGATGGCCTGCAGCAATGCCAATGAACAAATGGAATCCTAATAAAGTAACTTGGCAAAAGATCGACAAGCACTACGTGACATTAATCGGCGACAATACTTTCTACAATTTCGAATACGAAATCGACTTGAATGACACGAAGCATTACGTATTGACAGTAAGCTACGAACTCGATGATCCAAAATATTGCAATTAATTAATAATTTTAATTAAATAGTCCCTAAAGAGAAAGAAACGTAATAATGGAAGAACATAATTTGTACATAGCCTTCTAGCGTCAAGGATAATTTATTACTGAAATTATTATACATTTTCACAACGATTATCGAGAAACTTTGCATTGCAGATAGATCAAGAAGCCATATATCCTCTGTCAAGTAAAATAGATTTAAGCGAAATGCAGTCTTATGGCGGTGCATACATGATTTGCATCATGCGTGTAGCGCAAGCTTTTGCAGAAGAAAAAGGGTACACTCTAGAAAGAAAACAGTTAACTACGGATGTATTGAACATGATGTACTTTGAGTTGAAACTGATAGAAGTAAATATCCTTTAGGATAGGACCTAGGAATTGCTTTATCCTTAAAACGAGCGTGAAAAATCTCATCTTATTCTGTCTTTATAGATCATTGAAACCGGAAAGGAGATACACACGAACAGCGATAATTACGAAAGAATGACTATCAAAGAATTGCAGAAATGGTATAATAGTTCCGGCATTACTGAACCTACGGCGAAGGTAATATTTTTGGAACATGTACTATTTCTTATCCAGCTGAATAATTTAACCTTCGACCCTCCTGATCTTTGCTATAATTTTTTCCAAAATATTGAAAATAATTTTATAATTTGTTTTCTAAATTATATTTAAACCAAAAATAGTAAATCTAATAGCGAATCACTTCCTAGTACTTTATGCTCTATTTGATATCAAAATCAATTGTCATTTTCTAATCGCCAATGACAATCTGACACACTTTCTCATTCGTCACAAGGATTCAATTTTAGTGGTCCTTCTACACTAAGATCTCAATGCTAATTGTTCATATGGTTAATTTTTAATTATGACAGGAAATAAGAGATAGTATTCTCACGTGGAACATTTTTAGATAGACTTCTTGGACATGCTACAACACATATTCAAGCTGGCCAATATCACCATAACCTCATCCGAACCCATCATGGTATACAATCCGAAATTTCTTCATAAGCTGGCCGGGTTGCTTGGAGGCACCAGCGAACGTGTGCTGGGTAATACCGTAATTACAGAAACTGTAATTTATATTCACCGCTGTTCTTCGTTATTTCCCTAATCACGCCGAGATTAATGGTCGACTCGATGTCCTCTTTGGACACGTAGTCTCTTATTACGTGGCTTACGTTTATCATCTCCGTTGTTTACAGTGAACTACATCCAATGGAATATGGTGAACAAATTTCTGTCATACACCACGCAGGAGATGAGGGATATTCAGTTCAACATATCGTTCTCCTCGTACAATGTATCCAATTATGTTCCACGGTAGTCTTTACACATTTTTCCATTCCGTGCTGTCTTATTATCTAGAAACATAATGTTGCAGGATCTTCCAGCCTTTTAGAACACGTTACGCAACACTTGCAATTTATATATCTTTGACAATTTGATTTCGAGAAACTCGAATACTTGGTATTTTATTATAGGCGACGTGTTAAATTAGATTTCTGTCTTGCTTATCGTGAAATTCGAAAATATAGGATACTTTTGATAAAATGAAAATATTCTATTTAATATTATGTTATTATATTATTATATTATATTATATTTATTTATTTTATGTAATTCAGTATTAGGTATTAGGTATTATATATCACGATTAATTCGAATATCAAATACTATGTTTAATTCATTTTCAGATGGCAAGATTGCGTGCAAAACATAAGAATGAAGGACGCAGTTTCTTACATGTTCGTTAAAAAATATACCTCAGACCACGCGATACGCGAGGTAATTCCAAGGATTGCAAAATTATTCATTCGTTTTACTCTTATTTTCGTTTCTCCTGTCATCTCTATCTTCTCTATCTAGGCGACGAAAATGGTTAAAAGGATAAAGGAGAAATTAAAATCGCGCATAGCACAGGCCCAGTGGCTACCAAGTCCCATGAAACTGCTATTAACGCAGAAACTGGATAACTTAGGGATTGAAATTGGATATCCAAAGTGGTACAAGGACGACGATGCTGTTACTCGATATTACGACGGGGTAATTGTCTGAAAATAATTAAAAAATAAATTTTCAACGAGCACATAAATATTTAAAATCACGTAATTATTCGATCCTTTCGATCGTTCGCAGCTTCGCATAGGCACGGATTATTTTCAAAATATCCTGAACTGCCAAGAAAAGGAACTCGTAAAGAGTCTAATCGAATTCAGGGAACCTGTCGTGAAAGAAGAGTGTGTCTCCGCTAAGAAACTAAGCTATTTTAATTCATTAAACACTCGATGCTTAAATTAAAACTTGTTTCATCCACGTCTAATCCCTTTAATTTCCAGATGGTTAGAATATCCCATAACAGTAAACGCGTTTTACACTCAGATAATCAATGCAATATGTGAGTGTGCAAAAAACTGCAAAATTTCGCATTTCTATTGCTAACAAACTATTTTTCAGCGAAGAGAGAAAATTTCCTTATCGAAGTTTGCTTTTTTAGTCATACCAGCAGCTGAACTGCGAGACGCTTATTTCACGCCTTCTTTACCAGAGTAAGCCTCTTCATCTCTCAATCTTCGCTGTATTTTTCCCACTTGCTCATAATTCAATCTACTAATGAACGTTATCGATAAACGAATTGCCAGCGCTATTAATTATGGAATCATCGGATTCATAATCGGCCACGAAATATCCCATGGCTTCGACGACGATGGTAAAAAGCCTCTCAATTCCATAAAATATTATCCAATCGAATACGTTCTCGTGTTCTAAGTCTGATAACGTAATTTTAATTTCACCCAGGAATAAAATTCGACAAAGAGGGCTACAGGATTTCATGGACCTCTCGACACGCGTCGGACGAGCACAAGCAACGATCGAAATGCTTCGTCGATCAATATGGCAATTACACCTTCGATTCCACCGACGAGAATGGCGAACACGTTAAGGTGAGTCCTTTCATTAACGCTCGAAACAATTTCTACGTGCTTTCCAAGCGTTTTTTAATCTACTGAACTAATCTGAATCATCCGCTGGAAAATTACTCACCTTGTACACAATGCCCGGCTATCGTAATGCTCGAATTACGTAAGCACCGATGCTTCAACTGTTTTTGTAACAGTTTAAAAAAATATGCAAATATTCTGCATTTTAATTTGAATATGAGACACTCTCACTGCGAAAGTGACAGAGGTGCAGGCAATTTTTTAATATCCACATGTTTCACTCGTGACACGGATTTCTTTATTTATATTTAGTTAAAAATTGAAAATTCGAATTTCCATTGCTCTAATAATAATTAATTTTTAATAATTATATCTGCAACTCTCAATGATGATGGGCAACGCAAAAATCGTACCAAATTTTTCCTCTTTCTATGCTGGCAATATTTTTGGAAATATTTTAGAGCTCTGGCTACGCCAATGCTAGAAGAAAATACGTGTACTCCCTGTATACTAACGACGATGTATAATAGTATATAATTGAATTTAGCTGGATGGATATCTGACAAAGAACGAGAACATGGCAGACTCGGTTGGCATACAGATCGCTTATTCGGCGTACAAGACATTAACAGAGCAGAAGAAGCAAACGAAGCTACCTGGTCTGGAGCACATCTCAAACGACGAACTCTTCTTCCTAACCTTCGCCAATGTGAGCAACCTCGTGTACTCGAATAATTCCATTGAGTTCTTTTTTTTCTCGCAAGTATCAACAATACGGAAAAATTCCGTTTTTTCATAGGAATATTTCAAGCGTGAATGGTCAGTTAACAGCTGAGTTAACAAGCTAAAATCAACTGGGAATAATTGTTTATATATGTGGGATATGTTATCGAGTGTTAATTCTATCTCTAAAGAAATATCAGATAAACGTTCCCCAGCTAATTATCACGAATCCACTTTTTCGTAGTCCTGGTGCTCGACGATGAGGCCACAGTACGAGCAGATGGTAATGAACGATGACGAGCACAGCCCTGCAAAGTACCGCATCATAGGCTCCCTTTCCAATATGGCGGCGTTCTCCAAAACCTTCAAGTGCCCGCGAAACAGTTCTATGAATCGACGACACAAGTGTACACTGTGGAATTAGTATCGTAACATGCTAGGCAAACTTTGAACAAAGTACGGACAGAAATAGAATGGTACTTATCGGTTTCTAATCAGCGAGCAAGTCCTGTCTTTTTTATCATTTTTACGATTTTTAAGCAATAAAGCGAAACTTGTTTTAAATAAGGGAGATTCTTTAAATCCTGCTATAAATTAGTACGTATTTATCGATGTTTAAATTCTTGCTGTAAATAAGATTTAATTATTATAAAACTCGGAAATTGTTTTTGGAAAAATTATTTCCTTATTTCTCTACCTTTTGCATTGTTTTAGTTCTTTGGGGTACACTGGGATTAAAAGTGTCCCATTTTTAGTCCCACCTCGAAATATTGCAATAGCTACATGCTCATAGGTTTATATTTCGTCTTATTTACGTAAAGCAGTTGGTAATACCTTCGACAAATGTTACAAATGTATTCGCTTGTGTTAGCAACATTCAACATGCCAGTACAGGTTCATCAATTGTTGCAAACGGAAGATTTATTGCGACAATCTCATTTTCGTGGTTTTATGTGAAAAATCGTAAAAGTGTGTTAATTTTTATAAAAATTAGTTCTATGCCAATTTTGTTTCATTTAAAACGTAATAAAATTTCTATGCAACGTGGGTCTATTTTATTTATCTGAAATCCTGTGCCGCAAAGAGATAATTCGAATTTTTAATTTCTTCGAATCTTCAAGTACATTCTCTGGTCCTGATTGCGTTAGCTATTTCCCCATCTATTCTTAGAAATAATCGCATGGAATACCATAGACACTAATTTCTCATTCATGCATTTATACTCGTGCCGTTATACGCCTGTTAGATAGGATTATTTCTCTCGTACTCGTTTCTTCTGCTTCTATAGATCAAACCCTCAGAAGCCACTCATCAAGTAAATATTTAGACATAGTCCTAAATTTTGGATACTAATATGGTCTCTACTGTATATCGGAATATGCCTAATAATATATATAGATAATATATTAGAAATTTCTCATCTGCCTTATTTTTAGAAATTTCTTCGAATTTCTTCCGAAAATTCTATTAATTTTCCTTCGCAAATTTTCGTCGCGACGGTATTCCGTGCCGTAACGATATCACAGTGACTCGTGTGTGAAATAATTCTGGGACTCGTAATTGAAATATCTCGACAGCGGTTTATTCAATGTCATACGGGAGGAAATCAAGTATTTTTAAAACAAAATACTCATACAAAACGTATAAAATCGGGGGGGTGATTTGTACATCGATCTAGTACACATAGACAATCGTACAATACAACGTAATCGTTAAGTACGCAATAATTATGTATAACATCAACGCCTATCAACATAAAATATAAACTTCACGCTTTCATCAGAGATCATGTTCCCTTCACGCTTCATCCGTTTCTCACTTCATCTTGTGCGGCTATCTGCATCGTCTGCGCGATCCACCCGATACAGTTTCAACGTTTAACGATAAGAACCCTATGTAGCATGGCTAGTATCACAATTCTGATAGACTGTCACCAGAACGAAGTACGATCGCTGCGTTTGTCGAAACGTGTTTGTGTGCGTGAAACAGAAAACTGCTTGCTCGTAAAGCTAGCCCTAAAACGTTACATCGATTTTATACAGGCAACTTAATCTCTACACAGAAATTATGTACAACAGAAGCAAGAGAGATGTAAATGATACAGGATTTAAGATACGAGCATACCCGCTACGTTACACTAACGTACAAAGCACGAAACATTACGTAAGAACGCGAATGATATACGAGACTGTGCTCTTTCTACACTATAAATTACAAAGGTCGCTAAGTACACGGTCAATGGTACAACGCATACATGTAGTTAATAGCTGCACGACGAAGGTCTTCGATTATACAAATCTACAACTAACTTAACTTTGTACAGAAGTCACGAACCATCGGTTCGTCTAAGATTAATCGAATTTCGTACGCTTTCGATGATAACAATCGAGTTGGTACGAGAGCTTGTTTCGAAATTAAAGAGCAAGAAGAAGGACATAGTTCGAAGATATAGTTAGATATAGTTCGGACATAGTTCGACATATTTTCATATATCGGTACTCTTCACTTTTCTTCTTCCTATACTTTATCGTTAAACTTAGAAGCTTTAGCTTAGACAGCACTATCCTACACGAAGCTTATACTCCATCTATACAACTCCTATGAGAACCGTCTTACCAAACCGACCGGTCGACGTGCAATATTTCACTTGTTATCGTTCACAATCGGTGTAAGGGGCATCAGTTCTTTGGCCGGAAACGGGACATGTAAAAGTCGCAATCCGAGCAGTAAATGGCAGGCTCGGTCACCTGCTTCTTCCGGCAGAGGTGACACGGCGCGGTCCTCGCAGCGCCACCTACAGCAGGCTTCTGTAAGGTAGACGCTGACTGGGTCACAGTAGCGTTCTTTGACGAGGGTACGAAATGCATCTGCTTGCTCTGCTTGGTCACTGGAGGGTGCTGGTACGTAGGGTATTTCATGTTCGATTGGATCTGACCGTTCTGCAGGGCGTTGGGGTACGTCTGGTTGGGGGCCAGGATGTTTTGCTGATCAGCCTTCTGGGGTGGCCTCTGATAGTTCTCGTGTCTCTGTTGGTAATTCGGCATGTTCTGCTGCTGCTGGTAAGAGGCTGGAGGGTTGGGTGGTGGCTGATACTGCGGCAATGGTTGGTTTATTCTGTTCTGCTGAGGGACCGACTGGTAGGGGTACCCTTGATAGGAACTGTGGTTGTACTGGTTCTGATAAGGGCTGGGAGACTGAGTTGGCGGATACGCGAATTGCTGCTGAGAGTGCTG